CTGGAGGCAGTCTAGACCGCTGGGCCGAATAAAATAATGTTTTTTTAAAAAACGGGCAGGTGAAATTACATTTCCTGCATCCTTACAGCCAAAGAGGAAGGAGAGGAGGTTGCCGTTGGTAGATACAAGCTTTAAAAATAATAATAAATTTCAGAGGGGGGGAATGTGCTGAATGCATGATGGATGGATGGGGTGGGAGGCAAACAGAGATATTAGCACATCAATGGCCTTTGCCTCCTCCAGCCTCCATCAAGGCATAGCAAAGAGGGCTTTAATGAAATTTTAATTAGACAACGGGACACTTCAGGAAGTGTGGCTCCTTGCTTCCTGCAGACGCCACCCTCCCTGTTTCTTTTTTCTCCTGCTGTGCTTTTCTTTAGGGACGGAGATAATCTCAGACACACACATACAGGATCTGGGCCCATTTCAGAGTTGGGAGCAGGAGAGACGCACCCGGCCAGGGTCCATGAACTTTTGAGTTGTATTTCCTGCGCAAGAAATGAATTCACCGGAAATAACTCTTCTTGGCCTGCCAATATTGGGTGCCTGATCTACCCAAAGGAACTTGAACGTCTGTGGCAGGAGCTAGGCTGAAAATTTGCACGTTGGGTTGTGTGTATGTGTGTGTATGTGTGTGTATGTGTGTGTGCGGTTTGTTTTTGTTTTTTGTTTTGCAAGGGGGAGATGTAAACTGGTCCCCTTTTGGAGCCATGTAATACCTAGGGGGGGAAAAAGAAATGTTCAGAAGTGAATCCTCTTGATTATTTTGATCCTCAGCCCTGCAGCCATTCCTTCCATGTTTTGTCTTGTTTTCAGAGTTAAAACATCTTAAGCAGCAGTGGCAAAAAATAAATCTATAACACCAGCTGTTAACTACAGTTGAGTTGGCTGGCCCATATCGATAAATGAGGGACAGGTCTTTTGCAAAGTTAATGGCTCTTAATGGCCCATTTCAAACAAAACCACCATCAGGTAACTTTGTATTGTTAACAGAGGTGGCTTGCTGTGGCAATACTGTTGCTAGGGAAACTTATTTGTTCTGCAGTTTGTTTACAAATATCATTGTCGTAACTTTCCGGTTGAGTTAGTTTCATAAAAATGAATATTACCATGCGGCTTTTGGAATTCGAATTATGGCCGAGGCAGCTCCCTCTTCTTCTGCGCTTGTGCTGAGGCCCTAAGTAGGGCACTGAGGTTTTGCCCCGGGTGCGAAAATAGGCAGCACGCCAAAATCTAGAGGTGATTGGTATGTTTTAGGAAAACAGAGGGCCAACCCAACCTCCCTCCCTCTCCCTCCCTCTCTCTCTCTCTGTTTTGGAAAGCTTTAAAGGGCATCATATATGCTTTTTTCATCTCCCTTTTGTCCGATGAAAAGAGCCAGGTTTTCTTGCTTGTTGTACTCAGCAGATCCCAATTTATCCCGGGGGAGACTGCTCCAGCCGGATGTGTGTGTATACCGCTTTCTCCTGCCCACTTGACTGTCTCTATTTCTGGCTACCTGTCCTCCGGGCCATTTCCTGTTTTTCTCCCCTGTAATTCCTTTCCTCCCATGTCTGCAGGAAAGTCAGAGTGAGCTGCTAGGATTTTCTAAAAGGTCAAAGTCTTTAGGGGGGGGGGAATGGTTTTAAATTTAGCTCCTGCTCACCGTGATTTTCCTTTCCTGTTTAGAGGAGAAGAGAGGGTGGATGGCCCCTTTTTTGCAAAGGTTCTGCATTGTTCCAGGCAGTCCCCCTCCCTCCGTTCAGCCTCTGGACAGTTTTTAATACCTCTTCCTCCTGTTTTCGTCTGGGCGGTGGACGCATCCTGACCACCTGTTTCTTTTTTCGGCCTTTTGTATATACAGCACATTGTTAAAACCCGTGGGTGTGTTGTTGCGTTGCCAGATCAGCCCGCAGAGGTTTATCTTTCCAAAAAGAAACTGCAAATAAATGTTCAGGATGTTGCCTGGGCTCCTTTGCAAAAATAGAAAGTCCGAAGCAGCTGATAAACTTGGGATTTCTTAAAATATCTGTAGTAGTTCTTGTCTTTTGTGGTTTTGTTGTTGTTAAAGCTTTTAAAATATTGCTATCCTGGTGAATCAAAGGAAGGTCTGTCTTGGTTGATAGGTTGGTGTAAACATAAATGTAGGTCCAGAAATTCTTCTGTAAGAGGTCTAGGGCACTACAGGCTTCCTTATCATTAGATAAGATAGATTTATGTATTGTCTTTCCTCCAGGGACTTTAAAGCAATGTTCATGGAATTTCTCCCCGTATCTGTGCTCACAACACCCCTGTGAGGCAGGGCCGGGCCAACATGGCATGACTCAGTGAGGTCCACAGACTGATTTGAACTCAGGCCTGCCAAATAAGAGTCCAGCTGTAACAATGGCACCAGGTTGTCTCTCCTGCAAACTAGCCATTATTGATTTACATTCCTAAAATCACTTTCCAGAGAAAACTTCAGCCATTTTAAAAGCCTAGGGCCCCAAGATTTGGAGCGGGCTGCTTGTTCAGACGGCTGTTAATGGAAATACAGTATGATTAATTTTCTGGAATGCCTCTGTGGCTTTTCGCTGTCATGGCTATGTAGAGCACCCCTATCCAGAAGCAGTGTAGCTGCAGATAATTGGTTTCTAGGCACATAACAGCCAGTGAGATATATTGCTTCTGTCCTTTCTCTGTAGAAAGTCCCGGAGGCGTTTGCTGTTGGTTTTAAGTATCGCCCAAGCTTTCTAGAGAAATCTGACTCTGTTGCATCCGTTGTGGAGGGCGTTTTATCATCGGGAGTGCTGAAATTTGGGCAAATCGCCTTGCTCCACCTGAACAAGCCTTTCTGAAATCCCATCTTCTGCCCACGTTTGGATGCTCAGCGCCATCCGTTTGGGTCCAAGCCTTAGCTAGCAGGCTCAACGACCAGGATGATGGGAGTCGTAGTCTAGACTAGAAGTAACACTTTTTTATTTTTGGGACTGACCGGTTGCCCCTTTAGGAACACAGAGCTGTTTTGAGTCCTTCCTTCTTCCCGGCTCACCTTTAAATGGCCGCGCGAATCCCCACGGGGAATCTCTGAAACACCCGAGCGCCGACGAGGAGGAGGAGAGCTGGGGGTGGGTGGGGGAATTTCTGCGTGGTTCCTGTAAATAATTCATCAAGACGGCATGTCAGGAATTATATTATCATTGGAAATGCGGTGGGGAGGGGGGGCTTGGCTATTGTTGAGATCCCGCGTGGCGTTTGGGTTTGGTGAGCTCCTATGTTAATTTAATTTGATTTAAACCGTAATGTTTAGCGCAGAGGAGGCCATTTGTTTCAGTTACGGTGACGTCCGTGGCAGGATGCAGAGAAGATGCTAAGAAACGCATTTTTCAACTGGAGCCTGGAAGCTAGCTCCGATTTTCTTAGAAAGGCGTGAGCAAAGCCAGAGCATATATTTTAAGACGTTCCCGTCAACAATGGTTTTCCTTTGGGGTCACAGGAGGACACGCTGGCTGGAGGATCCAAGAATAACATTTTGGAAGCCGCATTTTTAACTTTGTACACACGACTTCCAAAAGGTTGTTTTTAGAAGACCCAGATGCAGGCTTCCTGTTTAATGGAAAAGCGGTGAGCTTAACTCCATGGCTTAAATCTGATGTTTCGTTTCCACCCTTGGGCAAAACATAGCGTGCAGGCTCCCAGAAATCATATAGACGGGTTGATTTGACTGATCTATCAAATTTGCAACCCGCTTTTCAAAATTTACCACTCGCACGTACGCATGGAGAGCTTCCCCCAAGCATCATCTTTCTCCCATTAAAGCTTGGACGTTGGATGGAGTTTTGCATTGAGAAACTACCCACTTAACAGATTTTGATGTGTGTGGAGGCTCTGACACCCAGCCTGTCCCAAAGTCTTGTGGGATTCCTCGGTGATCCATTTTCGCAGGCACAGGAATCTGAATCACGTCTCTCCAACACCAATGTGCTTTTGGCACTAACCATGAGCTGTTTTGTCCTAAAATTGGAGGAGAGCTTTGCTGGATTAAGGCAAAGCTTTGTTTCCAGAATGGCCAGCCAGTCACGTTCTACACACCCACAAGTAAAAAAGTTAAAGACAACTTCCTCCTCTAGTGATTAGTCTGAAGAGGTGGATTTCCTGTTTTGGTTCAAACCAAGGCTCTAGTCCATAATGATGCAACAATCAGATGTAAACGTTTCTGGGATTGTACAGGGCAGGGGCAAAATAGGTGCCGATTGTGGAAGTTTCAGATCTGGGTGGGTTTCTCCCTTCCTGATTTTTCAAACTTAAGTTTCTAGTCCTCAAGGCATAACAAAAGATTGAAAGTGGAATCCCAGGAGCAAATTTCTTGTCCGACTCGGCTCGCCAGCTGCCTCATGAGCCCTGTGTGTGTGTCTGCCTAAGTATTTGTGTCTGTATTTAACACAGAAGAAACATCTGCAGACAAAACTTAACCAGAGAGAAAATGGGACTCTTAATGAGAGGCTTAGACGCGGCCAGGTCTGTGCTTTCCCAAAGGCCCAGCTCAGGGACGGCCCAACGCCTTGCCTTCGGCAGAGTGTGTTTTTTAATTAAGAAACATGCAAACGAGGTCTCTGGAAGCTGGTAACAGGATCTGTTTTATCTGTCAGCGGAGGCAACGAAACGCGTCGGTGGTGTCTAATGGCCCTCACGTTCAATCCTTAATCCTGCCAGGCGTATTAAAAATCGGCGATGATCCCCTGCCTTGGCGTTCCAGTCGCCCCTGGGGAGCGAACCGCCGGCAATCGATCTCAGAGGCAGGTCCAGAGAAAATCGCTCCTCTGTCTCTGGGCTAGGGATATTTCGACTTTTTTGCAACCTCCGAGGTCAGTTCTCCGTGTCTCGAGGGTCACTCATTCCATCTGCTCCTTCCTCTTCTCTCCCTACCATGGTAAGCTTTGCAGGGCCACAGAAAAAGCAGGTTAAAAGATGATCTATCTCTCCCGGCGATAGCCACATCAAGACACACGAACTGAACCTCCTTTTCCCCCCTTCCTTTCCAGACCAGTGCCGTGCTGTGCGCAGGGGGTTGTGCGCTTTTAGCCCTCAGCTCCCTGCTGGCCGTGGTGGTCCTTTTCCTCCCCAGCGGGCAGTGTGAGCGGCGGGCCTGCTTCCTGGCCGGTTACATCCAGATGGCAGCGGGTGAGTAAACTAGTTTGAAAACTCTGCATGCGTACGGCTCTTCCTACCTGGTTTTGATCCCACAATCCCACCCCCCACCCCAATCTGCTGTTTGTTCCCAAGCCGAGCGGGTTGGCACTCTGAGCAGGCTGGACTACAGCTCACATCATCCCTGGTCCAGCTTGCTGCAGATGATGGGCGATGCAGTTCATTGCATCTGGAGCCCATCCACTCCTCTGACTTTGAGGAGGGGGGGAGTGGTCTACCTTCTTTAAAATAAGCTCCTTCGAGCGCGATTCCCCTGTTTTTTTCTTTCCAGAGACGTTCCCGTATTTAATTAACGTCCAGAATTTTATTTCCAAGTATCTTGAAATGGGCGGATGTCAGCCCGGTTGCAGTCCGTTATACTCTGTCTCAAGAAACAGCTATTCCTGTTGGATTTGAGTGACTCTTCTCCTCTCTTTCTGCCTCTGGCGGCTGCTGGTTCCTCCCAATTTTATTTCCTCAACGTGGACTAGAACCTTGGGTCTGTTTTGTTTTCTTCTTCATGAGATCTGGAAACTTGAACCTGTGTTGTCAGCTTTATCCCATGAGCCAGAAATCTGGGTCTGTCTCTGTTTAGAGTAAACTTTCTTGATGGATAAACACTGAAGGGTCAGGATTCTGGACCTTACACCTCCCTTTCTTGGCCTCTTCTTCTTCCCTTGCAGTAATCTTGTGCACTGCTTTTCTCTTTGAAAGAAGAGCTTGGCTCCCTTTTTTAAAATCCGATTTGGTGCAGGAGGGTGGGGAAGAAAAGGCCAAATAAGGGGGTGAATCTGAAAACGTCCTTGTGGATCTAAATTGATTTTCAGATGATTGCCATTGTTGTTTTGAAGGTAGCGCAGTTCAAGCGGGAATTAATCCACGGTGGGCGACCGAAATTAAAAAGCACACCGTGAAAAATGATGACGGAGCCGTGGACTGTGAAACAAGTTGGGGGAAGGGAGGGAGGAAGAGCTTTAAAGTGTTCATTAGTTTGATGAAAACACATTACAGTAAATCCTCTGTTGTCAATAAGGCCCACCGTCTCTGCTTTATTTACCTTCTGCTCTGAAGCTGTCAAACACACCCCCCCCCCGCCCGCAAGATCTTTTGTTTAATTTGACTCTATTTCCTCCTGTCCATGTTGGTGGGGGGAACATGAAGGGTCAGGATTCTGGACCTTACACCTCCCTTTTTTGGCCTCTTCTTCTTCCCTTGCAGTAATCTTGTGCACTGCTTTTCTCTTTGAAAGAAGAGCTTGGCTCCCTTTTTTAAAATCCGATTTGGTGCAGGAGGGTGGGGAAGAAAAGGCCAAATAAGGGGGTGAATCTGAAAACGTCCTTGTGGATCTAAATTGATTTTCAGATGATTGCCATTGTTGTTTTGAAGGTAGCGCAGTTCAAGCGGGAATTAATCCACGGTGGGCGACCGAAATTAAAAAGCACACCGTGAAAAATGATGACGGAGCCGTGGACTGTGAAACAAGTTGGGGGAAGGGAGGGAGGAAGAGTTTAAAGTGTTCATTAGTTTGATGAAAACACATTACAGTAAATCCTCTGTTGTCAATAAGGCCCACCGTCTCTGCTTTATTTACCTTCTGCTCTGAAGCTGTCAAACACCCCCCCGCCCACAAGATCTTTTGTTTAATTTTACTCTATTTCCTCCTGTCCATGTTGGTAGGGGGAATTGTTGCTCCTCTAGATGTCTGGGACTATATTTCCCAGCATTCCTTACCATTCACCGCCCTGCCTTGGTATGTTGGAGTTGAAATCCAACATGCCCCCCCACCCCTACTCCCCCCCCCGGAGGACCAAAGGCTTCCTCCTCCTGCTTTTAGGACCACCTGCTCCATCCTGGTACACGCTTCTTCTGGGCAGGCGGGCAAGATGACCCCATCATCCCCATCCAGCAGCAGGGGTGCATAAAGATGTTCCGGGAGGTTGCTGGGACTGAAAAGGAGAAAAGCAACAAGCATGTGTGGACTTTTGCTATCTTTTGCCTCTGCCCCAGAGAACTTACAATGCACATTTAAAGGGAGGGGGGAGGAGATGGAGCGTCTGCTCCTTCTTGTTAATCTCCTCGACTTCTCCTATTCAACCTAACCATTGCACCATCCTGCCTCCCTCAAACGTGATCAGCTTTTTTCCCTGGGTATTTCACCGGCTGCTAGAGACGGCCGCCTCTAGAAAGCCATATGGCCTTGCTCTGGCTCCCCTTTTTTCAGGATGGAAGTGCATTGGGGCAGAGACCTAGCATTGTAGAATTGGATGAGGGGTCCCGATGGGCTATCTAGCCTTACCCCCTGCCAATGTCATTCTGCAAAATGACCGAGAATGCACGACAGAAGCAAAACACAGCCTCTCTTGACACCCAAAAACAAAAAACAAACAAAAATCCTCCAATTTCTGGGCCTGTACGGAGTGGGGTGGGGGGGGAATTTGGAGGGTCCTCGTCCCCTTCCTCAGAAGGGACTCCTCAGCGCTCTGCTGAAAATGCTGCTTGCGGGTTCCCCGCCTGCTTAGAGAGACTCTGCACACGGCGGGCATATGGATTCTCTCTCCCCCTCTTGCCCCTGTGCCATCCATCTGTCGCTGCCTGTGGCTTAATCCAATTCCCGCATTTAAAATATCTTTCCTCCAACTCTCCGGGGTTCTGGACGCTGGGCTAGTTTCCTAAACTCTTGGCTCCCTTTTGAAGCGCTCAGGGTGGCTTCTATCCGGCCCTGGGAGCGAACGTCTTGGGGACCTGAGGCGGGCAGAGTCCTTTTGGACTCCTGTGTCTGGCGGCAGCAAGGAAGGGCATTACGCTAAATCAGACCATTACATCCACAATTTGTCTTAATTTTGGAGACTGATCTGCCCTCGTATTGATAGATCAAGCTAAGGAAGGAATAATAATCAACTGCTTTTTTTAAAGTGCTGGGTAGGGGCTGTAAGAGTTGCTAATTTTTATGATGTGAAAAGGTAACTAAGTCTTGGGAGAAACCGTAATGAGTTACATAACAGATTACTTTCAGAAAATTACTTTCCAAGTAACTGGATGGTTGGGGACCTGCTGTCTTCTCCTCCGTCAGCAGCAATGTGGGCCGTCCGTCGTGGGACTCCATAAGGGTCCCCATGTTGTGGGTCACACTGCCTAGAGAGCATACTTGGGTGTTGGGAAGTGTTTAATGCAGTCAGACACTTTAATGAGGATTACCCCAACAAAGGATCATCCTGGAGGAGTTTGCTCAGTTTCCAGCTGCATCTGCATAATCCCAGTTTAATTGGCTTTCTGTGGGCGGGAGGAAACGTAAGGCGAGCACCCCATCTTTCCAAGATCTCCCCAAGAGACAGCTTCCAGCTGTTCTGTGGTTCCATCAGGGGTGTCTCCGAAAGGTTAATTTAAAAATCACACAACCCTAATTTGGTTTAATTTAAATTTTTACCTAACTTAATCCAATTCCCTAGGTTTGAGGTTGTTTCCCTGTGTCTACCCCCCCCCAAAAAAAGTTTTTTTTTTAAGCTGATTAATCCCCTGGAGAAGCCGTTTTGCCATCTCGAGATGCAGCTGATGTCCTTCAGAGGTCTCGGGTGAACCCCTGGCTCTGGATGGAGATACGGGGACCACGTTGTGGAGTTCGGGAGAAGGTGGGAGATGATCAGACGGCCTAAATCCCTTTAAATCGAACCCAGGGCTTCGGCTTCAGGAAGAGGCTGCAGAATGAACGGGAACATTTTGAAAGACCTTTTTCCCCTCCTTCCACTTTGGGAAAAAGAAGATAGATGGAAACTATTGTAAGTTCCTCGGGGCAGGGAACCTATCTGACCTTGCTTGGCAACAGTAGAAGGACCCTGAGAGACCAGACGGTGTAGTGGCGAAAACGTAACACCAAGCCTTGCATGGCGCCAGGTTTTCCCTTCCTCAGAGCTGAGAAAAACCACTGCCCAGTGGTTTTCTCTTTCTTGATCTGACCGACCTCGCATGGCCGTTGTGAAGAAAGAGGGGCTAGGAGCCATGTATATGCTCTCTTGACTTCCTTGGTGTAGCCCAAATGTAGGTCAGGAGTGAGGGCAACAGGAAAAGAGGAAGACCCGATACGAGATGGATTGACTCCCTAATAGAAGCCATAGGTTTGAGTTTACAAGAGCTGAGCCAGGGCTGCCGAGAACAGGACTTTTTGGAGAAACGCTCATTCGTGGGGCTGCAGAATCGGAGGTCGCGCGTAACAACAACACTTATATATTTTTCTCACACACCAGTTGCATGACTTGGTGTGTGTTAGGGTTGTGGAGTTGAGTGGGTGAGGAGACGGCTTGACACCCTTAGGATGGCAGAGAGAAACGTCAGGGTGGCCGCGATGGCCAAGCCTTCCTTGTTTCTGGGGAAATGAGCACGGAGAGATGGAATTAACGAGGAGGCGGAGGGGAGCCCATCTGTCAGTGGCGACAACACGAGGCCCAAATCCAGGATTCCTGTTGCCTTGATAAATATATTAATCACAAAGGTAATTGAACCGGAAGGGCTCCTGACAGCGGGCTGGAAAAGGGAGCAGCAAGCCAGAGGCAAAGCGTGCGGAGAAAAATCTCCCCCAGACCGGAGGCGGAGGCCCCCATCGACTCTTTGAAATTTGGTCCAGGTGTTTTTTGTGGGGGGGGAGTAATAACAAAACAACGATAAAAGCGTTTTGCCTGAACCCCATTTCCCATTAAAATCTTCATTATCTCGGTGGATCTTTGGCAGATTTAATATTTAGGGATCCAGAATCAGGGATCTTTATGGAGGGTCACCCTAAAGTAAGCTTCTGAGTCCCACAACACTCTTCGTTGGGAGAGGAAACCTTGATGAAAGGACCTGTGGAGCTACGAATGTTCACCTAAGAATGTTTTACTGGCCCAGCCAAGCCAAGGCCGGAAGAAGGCGGGGGGGG